TAAATATAGCTAATGCTAGCTGTGCAATAAGCATGTGTACAGGCTAGTATGGCTAACGCTAGCATGTATGCTAACGCTAGCGCGAATGCTAGGGCGAATGCTAGCGCGAATGCTAACGCATTTTCTCATTGTGTTTAAACCGTTTAAACATCTCCAAATGTCATCACATAAACACAATACATGTTACTAATCCTTACAGTGTAAGTGTAAGGCTTACACTTACACTTACAGTCATTGCTTTCGGACGGACTTGACCCTTTTACTCTTCAGGTTGCAAAGGGAAAATTAGTAGCAGTCTACTCATGGATGTCTACTGCCATGCTAGTATTCAGTTCACTTTCTCTTACTTCCTGTACCCGGTTTCCTGTCTAACCTTCAGTACACATTTTACAAATATATAAATGTGCAAATATGAAACATACAGCTCAATATCACCTTGCTATTGGTAGCTGAACTGTCAATACCCCCAAACATATTATTAGATATAAATACCTAATTTTGAATTATTTAGACACAATTAACACTTATAGTTTCATGTCTTGTTACATAAGAATAGATCATATTTCTTAAGTGTTATTATGGTAGAATTACTATTCTTGTGGTACTACTGCCTTATTAGGCCCATATTGAGCAGAGCATATTAAGACCAAAACTCATGTACAACAACTTCCTTAAATAGCACTAATTAGAGGGTTATTGAGGAAAACTCTCAACTAATGGCTTATTACTTGTAGAATATGGTCATGCAGAATAAGGCATTAATAAGTGTTTTATAATGACTAATAAAGAGCCAATATACTGCTAATATGTATGTTAATTAACAACTAGTTGATGGTTAATTTGTGTACCTTAATATAAAGTGTTACCGTATGTTTAATTAATTTTGTTAATATGCCTAGATTGCCTACTCTCAAAGTCATGTATTATATTATTGAGTCAATCACATTAACCGTGCTTTACCTGAACCTCATCATGACACTAGAGAGGACGGCAGGATTGTAATTTCCGGTGTTCAGTGAACGCAACAGAGGCAAGACACCAGACCAACCAGAGAGTTGAATGGAAATAAACATCTGTCTTATTGGCTGACAGGTACCTATCCTGTGAGCTGTGACAATGTTTAAAATAAACTGTCAGTCGGACTCAGAGTTTTTGAAGATGGACATAAGCACATTTTTTCTTAAAAAAGACGACAATTCTCAAGTGGTGGCTCACACAACAACCCCAGAGCCACCACTTGAGCCAGGTAAACAAGGTATGTAAATGTCAGTAAACTTCCAAGTTATGCGAACATGTAAGCAAAGCATAAATTACAGCTACGTTGACGTTACTTTGAATCGCGTGGGGTAAGCTACACCGTTAGCAAGTAGCTATAGCTAGCCAGATATATTAAATAAACACTTTGTCATACAATCTAAATGTAATGTTTTTTAGCGTTACCTGGTGATTTCAAAGAAAGCCCTCTGGAAAATGTTGACTTACTGTTCGACATGAAGCTAGAAGCTACCTTACAGTACACAGTTGATCCTGAGTCCTGTCGGATAAAGTGTTTCATAGTTAGCTTAGCTAAGCATCAACCTAGCACTGAAATATATGGATGTTATGTGACAGTATTTCTGAGAAAAAGTCCGCTGAAATGGTGGCATAGTTGCCAATGCTTTACGTGTCGACAGCATGTTTGAACGTATTTGCAGCAGTAAATGTGGCTGTTTGACCACTGACGTTGCCATAACAACACCTGAATTTAAATGTGCAACCTCTTTTTTTGACAGATTTTTGCATGAAATTATAATTCTTCTGAATGATATTCCTATTGACAGCTAGTTTCTATGTGAACATTATGAGATGGACAGCCAGAGAGAATAAATGAAAAACAGTTATGAAATACTATATGACAAAACAAGAATACAGTTTAAAAGGGGAGTGATTTGTAAAATATCCATAAAGAAAAATCTGTTAACAGTTCTCTTTCATATGGGTGTCGAGAGATGTATCCATAGATCTCTTAATTTTGCTCTCAAAGTGCACCAGATTGATGCTTTTAACTTCAATATTTAAAAGAAAATCTTCCCAGGGGAGCATGCCCCCGGACCCCCCTAGAGGAGGTGAGGACCTAAGGATGTTAGGTCCACGGTGTTTACATGCTTATTTATACAATATGTGTGCTTATGCTAACATCATAAGACAAAAGTTGGTTCCGTGTTGTGTGTAGTGAGAATGCGCTAGAGTGAGGGGGGCCCCCTAGCCAAAGCTCGCTTAGGGCCCCCAAAAGTCTAGGGCCGGCCCTGGGTGAAAGCTCCTACCATCTTCTTCTCTTGAAAAAGTGAATTTTTTATCTACCTACTAAATCGGTCCTAAAGGAATCGGGTAGAACTGATGGCCAATCAGCTGGATCTATTGGTGGACCAAAAGCTGGCCGCTCTGCTTGTAAGTCTGCAGGAGGAGCAGATTTACCTGCGGCATGTGTGTGAGGAGGTGATGAGGAGGATGGACCTGCATGTGGCTCAGGACGTGATGAGGAGGATGGACCTGCATGTGGCTCAGGACGTGATGAGGAGGATGGACCTGCAGCATTTGGCTCTGCTTGCACAAAGTACTTGAGAATTGTACCTGCAAAGACAAAACTCCTTAAATTAGCAAGCAAACTTTGTTGTTGTTTATTTTTAAACAGTCATCATACAAACATTAATAATAAACATATCACAATGTAAACTTATACAACAGTGATTAGTGACTGAAAAGGCTTTGGCACAATCTTATATATGAATATCCTATATTCTTATAATTAAATCGAAAACAAAACAAATAAATTATTCACATTTGTATCCCCCAAAAAAGCATTACAAACGATTTTCTTGAAAACCAAAAAAAAGGTACATTTTTAAATGTACATTGGCTTTGTTCCATAATTTAACCCCAACAATAGAGATAAATATTATATTGATTTCTTTATTAGCTTTTTGAAAAATAAACGTACAGTACAGATACCTCTTAAATCCTATTAACTTTCCTCCCTTGAAAAACAGACTGGAAGTGATTTTGAATTAGCCTGCTAGAGAACCACAGTGACGCGTCCTAAAACCCGGATGTAAACTCCTTCCGGTTCCTTCGTCAAAAACCAATGCAATTTCTCCATAGGATTTTGGAAAATAGCTCGAAATAAGGTCTGTGGTTGACACACATTTAAGAAAGGGATCACGTTTTGTTCAGCCGGATAATATCCACATGTCTACACTACTTTTATAATTTTCGAATCATAAATCTAGTCGCCAGAAGCAAAATGCTAACGTTATGGTATAAACGAACTACAACAGGGTCGCTGCTTCAACGTCACGCCAACTTAAGATCCATATTAAAAACTACAGATTCAAAATTGTACAAGTTTAAGCGTTTGTTTTAACAGTTTGCAAGAGCGCAGGTACTTGCTTTCAAGCAGAACAGGGCAAACAAACTTAGCGGGAGTGTTTACGTTTTCGGTGTAATGATGTACAACGGCCTCGACAACTTTAGCCACATGTTAACAACCATCGTTTTTCAGACACGTAAACTCTTCAAAAATCACCAGTGGGGTCACTGCTGATGTATTTAATGTCGTAGAACAAAACGTGATCTGTCTCTTCAATTTGTGTCAAACACAGACCTTATTTCGAGCTATTTTCCAAAATCCTATGGAGAAATTGCATTGCTTTTTGTCAAAGGAACCGGAAGTGGTAAAAATGCTAACTTACTTCCGGGTTTTAGGACACGTCACTGCGGTTCTCTATACTCCAACACAGCAGGTGTCACTTTAGTCATTCACTCATCATGAGAGTAACATCTACGTCACTTTACGGCCCGCCCACTTTTGGGGTAAACCAACGCTGTCATTTGAATGGCGATCAAGCCTGAAGCCACAGAGCTCTTCTTTTACTGTCAGAGGAAGTACAGAAAAACGTCACTTTGGATTTTTTTTTATGTTTGAGGTGTAATAAACGACACAGCAGCTTTTTGGCATGATAAAACAATTATTTTCCACCTCACTCATGACAGTAACAGCTGGCGAAATTACGGCCTCGCCTACTGATTTTAATTTAACCATATATCGCGCCCGATCGTCGATTTCAAATGATTTCATGTAATTGTTTGCCTGACTGGCCATCGTAATCGGGCTCTTTGAAGATCCAAAAATCCACGGTTTTCTTACATTTCTGATCGGATAGGCAAAAACTTCAGAATTTGTATTAACCGCCATTCAAATGACAGCGTTGTTTTCCCCCAAAAGTGGGCGGGGCCGTCATTTTCGCCCGGAAGTGACGTAGGGGTTACTCTCATCTATATTAATATTTTAAATTCATTTTAATAATTCTTACTTAGTTGGTTGTATTTTCCATCTTATGTTAATCATTTATCTAGTTTTTTTATCTTATTTTACCATAATATTCAAGTGTGTTTGAACTCTTATTTTCCATTCATTGTGGCATTCTTTATCCCTTTATAGTCTCATTCTGTCTATTACTACGTAAAGCACAGGGCACTTGGTGCATTTCTTGTATGGATGTTGCTTCACAAAGGTTTTTTAAAGTTATTGTATTCCTTATAATGGCAGATTCTTGCTCCATAGCGTATATTGTTGTCTAAAAGCATTGACTGTATGATTGAATAAGCCCGGCTCTGCGTCTTCATACTTTTCTTGACAGTTCAAATTCAGAGTTTGAGCACAACAGTGTATTACCTTTCAAAATAAAAGTCGTATCAGTTAAATGTAACACCGACGTGACCATTTTGATAATTATTTTGCTCTCACAGTGATACATTAATACCAAACTAAATACATAAGATCATACAATTCATGAACACATGTCACAGACTATTTTCCTCAGCTCTTTATTTAAAAAGTGGACGAAGTTCCCTTCCCAGGGAAACTATTGTGACAGCCGTTTCTCCCTGCTGAACGCTTTTTCCTGTCCGCGGTCAAAAATACCGGAAACACTTCTTGCGGAACCACTTGGTGTCACCTCGCCTGTTGTCCGGACTGAGCCGCCTGTCTTGTCGCTGCTCAGACTCGGAGACTCCGGGGAATGCTGCCGCAGAGATGGAGTTGAATCACAAAAACAACAAAGTGTCGGACAGAGTTTGAGACAAAGGGAGCAAAGCGTCAGTTTTCCGGCTGATGGATATTTGTTGAATACAACCCAGGCGTACCATTTAAACAATTGGTTTGAAAATGAAGCTGCTGAAGCCGAGCTGGGTGAGCCACAACGGTAAGCTTGTGCAGGAATCTGTTGGACCAAGTTGGGCTTTTGTTGTCGGCAGGGGGGTGATAAGGAGGCATGATGGTGGTGGTCGAGACTAGTTGGAATTGTTTGTCACTTAATATTTGCACCCATACTAAACTTAATCCCACAGCTGCAAACACACATTTGGTGTTTTTGACACTATTCGTATCCCTCCTAGCTGTTTTAAATGTATACATGTTTTCTTACATTAGCCATCTAGCTAGCTAGCTAGTTAGCCCCCTGGCTAACTCGGATGCCCAGACGCTAGCTAATTTAACGTTACCTGCCAAATGACCCATGTCAAAGTCTTAAAGTGACTTCTTGTTTAAAAGCTTTGAGGAGATTTTTTTAAACAACCACCAATTATTTTAGTGACAGTGAACAAACTCGACCTGCAGCTTAAAAAGTGATTACCCAAGCTGTCAGTGTTTGAAAGTTAAGCTTTGGGGAATTGGCCTGAATTTAGGGTGCAGCTAACGATTAATGTCATTAGAGTCAAGCTATTAACTTTTAAGATCATTATTTTGTTCTGTAAAACATCCTAAACATTTTGTAAGTGTGTATTACAATATGCCAGAAAACTAATGGGCTAGCGACCTTTATATATATATATATATATATATATATATATATATATATATATATATATATATATATATATATATATATATATATATATATATATATGGTCCTTAGTGCCATGTACATTTTCGAATTCATTTATTTTAAGCTCTAACCACCGGAATTTGTTATGATAGTCAAGAAAACTCTCCTGGTGAATTTTATTCAAATTCTAACAACATTTATCCCTCCCTCATCAAAGCCACGGTGCTGCAACTGAGGCTAAACTTCAAGGTTGATGAGGGAGGGGTACATGTTGTCAGATTGAGGAAAAAATTCACCAGGAGAGTTTTCTTGACTAATAGAATGAATTCTGGGGGTTGGAGCTTAGACTTTACGACTTTCAATTTTCAGGACCACCCTAATATGTGTGTGTGTGTATCTTATCTAACGGCCTACAGCTGACATGGGTTAAAAGATGCAAACGGCAGGACTCTGGATTTTGTTTAGTTGATAATGCATTTCAGTACTGATGTACGTTGACACTCATCAAACTTATTTTAAGGGGGTCCTAAGACACATACAAATACACTTTGATAGATGATAAAGGGAAAAAACACATTTGATATGTGTAGAAAAATTATTTTCTGAATATGACTTAATCTGCTGATGGAACAATAAGGTTTCCACTCAAACTGAAACAATTACTTGACTCATCGATTAATCGTTACACAGATTTTTTTATTATTTTATAATCATGTTCAACAGATACTGAACAATTATGCATTTTAATGTATTGTTTATATCTTTTGGACTAACAAACAATACATTAAAATGCGTAACCTTGGACTTGAGAACACATTGGAGTGACATCTTATAGAATCAATATAAAACTGTCCGTCACTAGTTGCAGCACTACTTGCCACTATTTATTAGACCTTCTTAATGCTCATCTGGTAATTATAGTTCATATAACTTGTAACATGTTTATTTTTAAGGAACATTTAATATATTATCCGAGTAATTTCAGAGGATTACAAAAATCTCAAAGATTCGAAGGTTGTATATAAAATAAATACTGTACAGGAATAAAATACTGCTTAATGTCATAATACATAATTATGTGGAATGCAAACCGATGATGAATGCTTTAAAGTCATAAAAGCACTTCACAGAGTTCAGTCTTGTGGCCTGTGGGATAAAACTGTCCCTCAGCCTGGTGGTTTTCAGAATCAGAAATCCTTTATTTGTCCCAAAGCGGTGAAATGTTCAGTCTTACAGCAAAAGTGGCATAGCAGGTAACAGGGTGCGTACGGGTGCTGGAAATGCTTGAAAATGCTTGAAATTGTACGAGGTGTTTTCAAGGTTTGAAAAGTGCTTGAATTTTGGGAATGGTGCTTGAATTTGGGATAAAGTGCTTGAAATTGTAAATGCTTTACCTCGCTTTTTAGATTAAAAGAAAATAAAGAAGTCGGAGCGCGCTTAATTGCTTCGCTTTTACATAAAACAGCTCCGCTCCGGCCTTCCCGCGCAATGTGCGTGACCGGCAAGTGTTTTTGTTACGTGTGTGACCTGGGCATTCTGATGAGAGTGATAGATGACAGTATGCCAGGAGGTTGCCGTTTCAACGAGCGTTGGCTAGCAGAAGACAAATACAAGCCATGGCTGAGACGAGGGTCAAGGAAGCCCAAGAGTAGCCTCCTGCAAAGTGTGCAACAATAACGATGCGAGAGTCTGCGCTGACGAGCGACACACCACACGAAAGGTACGCCGTAGAGCATTTTAGATTAGGCTAACGTTGCATGTAAAATACATGACACTTTTCTCTGTGCGCGGCAAAACAAGCTCGCCAAAATGGCTTCACTAGTCTGGCAGTATTTTAAGTGTCCGAAAATGACAATAAAATAGCGGTATGCAACGTGTGTGTGAAGCAGAAATCCTGCAGCTCCACCCGCTGTGACGGACCGGTGAGCGGAGCAGAACACACATTAAGAGTTAGACCTAACACACTTAGCTATTTTATCTACCTCTGGAACAAGCTAAACTAGTTATAAATATATTTATTCTTCACTGTCGGGTCGCTTATTACTGGATCAGTGAGCTGCAGGAGATACTGACGGGCTGTCAGGAGAGAGAGAGAGGGGGAGAGAGGAAAAGAGAGCGGTATCGGCCGATACTGATTCCGGCGATCGGCTCCAAAATTGGCGATCGGAGCATCCCTAATAATTGTATATGATATGTTTTATAATGATTGATCATGAAAGTGTTATCAAAGCTGGTAAAGTTGCAGCTAGTTTGAATGACTTTGTATACTACAGAGTAGCTTGTGAATTTACTCCAGGTGGAACTAAAGTCTGATTTAACACTTGATTATATTTCACATCATTCATCCACATCCGTAAAGTAACTAAAGGTATTGAATACATGTAGTGGAGTCAAAGTACACCATTTACCTCTGACTTGTGTTTACTGCCAACCTAAAAGTACCTCAAAAATAGTAATCAATAATATATTGAAAAGTTATTTGGCTGATTGTTTTATATTGGCTCAGCCAGGTTATATGGGATGCCCAGTCTACGTACAGATAGGTGACACATTTTGAAATATTAAACTTAGTTTTCTTTTCTAACATTTTTAATTTTTCATCCTCATGTAGAATGCTATTATGAAACACACATTTGGTTGTTTATAGCATAAAGAACATCTGATTTAATGTGAGGTAGGGAAATAATCATTTGAGTATAAGTATGTGTATATAAATATGTTATTTACAACAGCTGTAAGATGCTTGAAAAGCTTGAAAATGCACCTTGAAAATGCTTGAAAAGTGCTTGAATTTGACTTTGGAAAAGGTGTAAGAACCCTGAGGTAAAAATATGCATGCAATAATAAGGAATAAACTAACTTATTAAATATAGAGAAGAACATAAAGATAAATAAGTACACACTCATGGCCAAAAATGATGAGCAGTAACTTAACCCTTAGATGCACGAGTGACTGGACCCTACAGTCTTCCATAAGTGGGTCTAAAAGGACCCGTATAAGAATAATATGTGTTTTTATGCAATTTGTCATTTTGGTTAAGAAAAATCACTTGTATTATATTTTGGTTCACATTACAAATATTTTATATTTAAAGGGGACATATCATGCTATATTTGAACAATATATTGTAGGGCCATACCTATATAAAGTATATAAATATAGTTTTTTTTTCAAAATACCAAACAGATCCTGCATTTAAGCCATGCCTCATTTCGCTCTATTTGCTCTTTCCAGCCCTGTTTTTGCAGGGGGCTGATTCTGTGAGCTGCAGCTGACCACGCCCCCCTGCAGGAGAGGGGAGCGTGCTTTGAGATCAGCTGCTGGGTTGTCAGAAGAGGGGGAGAAAAAGAGATCTCCGTCCTCCGTGTTTTATTCTTATAGAAGTAAGAAGAGAAGTAACGGGGCAGAAACCCTCCTTTTTACGCAGCGGTCCAGACATAGACATCAAACGGCGACACATATTCAGTTGCCAGTTACTTTGGCATTAGGGCAGGGATATCTAGATACTTTCCAATGTTTGACATAATGAATTGTGCTACTTTTAAAGCAAGCAACGATGTTTTCAAATCTGTAATAAAAAATCTCCTCAAAAACGCTATCGAAGCAGTTCCTGCCGTTGCTACATTAGTTCAAACAGTAACAACGGACTATTTCTTAGCGGATGCATGTCAATTTAAATCAATACATAACTATTTTTTAAATCAATAAAATCATTTTCTAAATCCATAAAAGCATTTCAATTAATATTGGGAGCAGTGGTTGCGTTAGACTTTTTCATTGTCCGTCATTTTTGACGGACAGGATCGTAACATTTCCGTCATAATCCATTATTACCCGTCATTTTATTTTTTTATTTATTCATTTAATAATATTAGCTGCTAATTGTAGCCACCAGAGTATCGCAGCTTCAGGTTTTGGCTATGCGTCACTCTCACTCCTTATTTGGTAACGTGTGTATTTGTGTATGTGTGAAAAAAAAGATGAACAGACACCGACCGTGCGGTCACTTTTCATGTCAACACGAATATGAATGATTTATTTTTTCCTGCACTGACAGCACAGCAGAGGCCACTAAAACACCGCGACCATTGTGCCTAAACAGGCAAATATGAACAATGCCATTGTTTGAAATGAGACAATTACAATTAAAATATGAACAAAACATTTACAAGAACAACTCAATTGACCTGCTGTAGCCTAGCCTGAACTCAGACCTTCCTCCTGGGCCGCATGGATTTAAACTGGGTGCTCGCTTGTGCGTAGTCAAATGCATCAAGGGAGATTGCTGCAGAGGCGATTGTCATTAAGCGTTGGGTCTTTGCCTCGGACAGACGACTTCTCATGGCCGTTTTGATGTTGTTCTGAAGGCTGAACCCGC